GCAGTCTCCAGCCCAGGTCACTGGGTCCTGGGGACCTGGGGGTGATGCTTCTAGGATGGGGCATAGTCTCTGTGTTCCTATTTGTCTACATCTTCCCCTCTGCATCCACTCCTGGCTCTACGCTACAGACTCACAAAGGAGGGTCACCCTGTGTGTAGGCCCCTGCTACTGCATACAAGCAGACCCCTGGGTCTGGGAGGGACAGCAGTATGGGGGCTGCAGGGGTCAAGGCAAAGGCTGGAGTGAAAGAAGAGCCCCCACATCTCCCCTAGCTGAGACCTCGGGAATTCTCTGTTTGTTTGGGTTGTTTTGTTTGATTGGTGGTTTTTGTTTCTTCTTTATTTTCAGTTACATTTATTTATCTTATCTCTCTCTGTCTCTTTGTGTGTGTGTGTGTGTGTGTTTGTGTGTGTGTGTGTACACGTGTGCCATGGCACATGTATGGAGATCAGAGGACAACTTACAGAAGTTAATGTTCTCCATCCTCTATGTGAGTCTCAGGGGTCAAACTCAAGTTGTTAGGCTTGCTTGATGGCAAACTCCTTTACCTGGTGAGCCACCTCATTGCCCACTCCACCCCTTTTATGAGACAGGGTTTCATATGGCTCAGACTGGCCTCAAACTCTCTATGTAGCCAAGGATGACCTTGAATTTCTGATTCTCCTGCCCCCCACTCCCCATTTCTGGGATTACAGTCATATGACACCAGGTTAAACGGTACTGGGAGTTGCCTTTATGGTAGGCAGGCACCCTCTACTACCAACTGTGCTACAACCCTAGCCCCGATGTTTTTATTTTAATCTGTGTTTATGCTGTGCCTGCATGAGTTTATGCGCACCAGGTGCATGGAGGTGCCTACAGAGGCCAGAAAACTTTGGATCCCCTGAAATTAAAGGTAGATGTGAGCTAGCTAATGTGGGTGCTGGGAACTAAACCCTGGTCCTCTGCAAGACCATTAAGTGCTCCTAACTGTGAAGCCTTCTCTCCAGTCCCTAGTTATTTATTTTGAAACAAGGTCTCCCTGTGTAGCCCAAATTGGGATCACTGTACAGCTCTCCCAGTTCAGCATCATCCCTGCCATACACACACACACACACACACACACACACACACACGCCATTTCTGAGTGATCCAACCCAGGATCTTACTCATGCTAAACAAGACTCTTCCACTGAGCTCCAGCTCAGGTGTCTGCTTTTCTCCCTGGGATGTGAGCACAAACCAGACAAAGCCCAATTTCTTTTCAAGGTGCCTAAACCTTGAACAAGGTCACTTATAGATGCTGTGTCCATACCTTGTGGCAGGCAGCCTGGGATTTCCAAGAGGTAGAAAGGGCCAGAAAGATTAGACAGAAACAGGGTTAAATAAACAGGGAATTAGTCAGTGAGGCTTGGCAGGGCAAGAGAAGACAACTGAGGCAGGGCTCACTGGAGGTTGAGCTGGCCTGGTGCCTGGAAAGCAGATCCGTGAGGGTTGAGGGGAGGGCCCAGCCCAGAACACTGGTAGGCTTGGGATCTGGGACAAAGTCCTGAGCCAGTGCATGGCTTGGTAAAAAATAATTAATTTTTCTTTTCAAGCCGGAGCTCTGACCTGGGTCTTTTCCTGTCCTTGCTCAGGCCCGAGCTGCAGAAGCTTCTCTAGAGCTTCCCATGGCCTCCCCATGGCCAACTTGAGTTTACTCCTCAACCTGAGGCCCCATCGGAAAGGCCTGCGGATTACAGGTAAGTGTGATTTAGGGAGCCAGGAGGCCTGACTGCAGGTGGGAATAAAGAGACAAGGGTGAGTCACCTCTGCAGTAAGTCTCTGCTGCCTGTGCTGCGCCCTGGGGCAGGCAAGGAACCCTCATGGCCCCATGTCTGTGGACCCCGTGTCATGGTGTCACGACAGCAAGACACCTGAGACCATGACATCAGCCAGAGGAAGTCCGTACCTCCAGAAGCCTTTGGAGTGTGTCCTGATGGAGACAAAGCCTCCTGGCCTTCTGAGCCCCCATCCTCCCTCCCTCCTTTCACCTTCCTGGAGGTGAGAAGCCAGACCCTGCTGCAAGAGGAGGGGGGTTTGCCCAGCCAGCTGCTATGGAAGTCTTCAGTGACTCAGCTGGGTAGGGGAGTGTTTATGAGCAGCCGAAATGGCTGTAAAAGTGGCACCTGGCTTCACTTACGGCCTGGCCACCCCATCCCATACTGGCCCCTTGGTAACTAGAGAAATGTCTGGGGTCTGAAACCTGGAAGAAGTCTTGGCCCGAGGTCAGGGTTCAGCCAAGGGTTGTAAATCAGTCTGGGATAAAGGCTTAGCCTGGGGTCAGGTTCATTGTGGGGGCAGAGCAGAGTCTGGGGGCAGAGCTAATCTTAGCAGACAAGTGTCTTTGGGGCTAACCTGGGGGATGAAGCCTGGGGAAAGGGGCGATGTCTCAGAACCAGATGTGGACTCCTGGTTCCACAGAGCCCCTAGGCAGGTGACCAGGGGTTTTCTGAGAGAGTGAGGCCAGACTGCAGAGCTGGAAGGACGGTTTGAGGGTCTGTGTAGCCCTATGCAGACTGGTAACAGCAGGGGCCTGTCAGCCTGCAGCTTCTGCATCAGTGGGGGTGGAGATTGAGTCCAGACCCTGCTCTGGTTCTGGACTGCAGTGACCATCTTATCTCCTCCTGCTAAACCTGGCTGGGGATCAAAGAGAGAAACACAGACCCACGCCCGACACCTAGCCTTACTTTTCCCAACTTCGTTGAAAACTGATTTGAAACTAACCAGAAACTGACCTTACAGCCCAGGGACTGCCAGTCAAAGGGCAAGGTTGGCTCTACACAACCCTGGTGTGTTACCAGTTAATATTCGATCCCCCGCCCCATTCCCATAGTGGCAGTTTAACCAGAGGCCTGGGGAAGTTAGGTGACCATCATGTTGAATGTCTAGGAGGGAACTCTAGAGTGAGGGACTTTGCGTGTAGGGGGACATAGAAACCAGCACACCACTCTAGTATTGCCACAGCCTGCCCTGACCCACCCAAGGGCAAATCTTATCTTTCTTGCGTTGCTTTATTTTTTTGAGACAGGGTCTCACTATGCATTTCTGACCTGTAATTTGCTATATTGATCAGGTTGGTATCGAACTCACAAAGATCTGCTTGCTTCTGCTTCCCACGTGCTGGAATTAAAGGTGTGTGCCACCATGCCCCGCCCAAGTGCAAGTCAAGAGCTATGGTCAGAACTAAGAACTCTGCCCAATTAGCTTCTAAATTTCTCTCATTCTTAATTCCACTACTCATGTTCGTTTCTCACCACCAAGGGAAAAGACAGTAGTCACTGCCACATGAAACTTGTGTCACATAGAAACATGTAACACTGACATCATCAAAGCATGGTACTATGGGTCTTCCATTCTCAAAGAGCATGCATACCATAAAGATACCCCTGAACTCACACCCACATGCTCAAGGAGGCCTTGGGGACACAGGTAGGGAGGCATGTCCTCCATACCAAACTGAGGAGTGGGATCCTGACAAGGAAGCAAGAAAAACCAGACAGAGGTGTGAGCATGAGCCGTCCGGAAGTCTAGCAGACTGTATCTACTGGTGACAGTCGTTTGGAAGGAAATAGCCATCTTTGAAAACCAGGACAAGAAACACAGGAGCAGTGGGCACAGAAGAAGGGCATGGCAGAAGCAATGTTTGAGAAAGACTGAGGACGTGGGTTCCCATTCACATTGAGAGGCAGGGCCATCCTTGAGATGGTGAGCAAGGTTTTTTTTGTGGGGGGGGGGGGTTCTGAGCTCATTTGCATAGGATTCTAGTGGAGAACTCCTGGAGAATTCATGGGTTTGCACAAACCCTCAAGGTCCCTTTGAATCAGATGGACATCTTCCGATTTTACAGATGAGAAAACTGAGGCCAAGAAACCCGGAGAGGCCTGGTGATTAGGACACAGAATTGGTAAGTAAGCAAGCAAGGGTGCCATTTAACCCGGTGGTATTTTTCAGGACACCACACTTAAAATGGATTCCTTCAGCAATCCTTTGGTTAGCCCTCTGTTCCAAGCACCCCTAACCTCCTCTGCTGCCTGATGCTCCCCCCTGGTAGGCTTGGAAATCCTGGATCTAGAACCCAGGGGTCATCCAGTATGGAGTACAAAAACTACACACACACACACACACACACACACACACACACACACACACACACACACACACACCTCCTCTCTCCCTAAGAGTCCCAAGATAGCTAGCAGCATTTGGGGGACTGCGTGGTGGAAGGAGGTGAAGTACAAGAGTGTTTCCTAGCTAAGACCCAAGTCGTGTAGTCTCGAAGCGCCCAAATTGGGTTCGGTAGGAGAGCTGGAGATACCTGGCAAGCAGCCGATAGGTCGAGACATCTTAAGATACCCGGATTGGAAAGAGACCCCTCTTAGTTTCAGACCTAAACTGGAGGAGCACTATGCGGGTCTCGGGTCCGCTACACCCCGGGAGTAGGGGTGGGACAGCGGATGGAGGACCAGGCAAGGGCGGGGCGGGACGCGAGGGCGTTGGCTGCGTAGCCTGGACTCTGGCAGGCGGTGGAGCAGCTTCCCCAGGGTCCCCACCGCGGGTGCACGGACAGCGCCGCGGCCAGAGGCGCGCGAAGTACTAGGCGACCTCCCCAGTGGATCCTCTCCTGGAGCCCGCCTGCTCATTGCAAGGGCTGGACGATCTGGGGGTGATGGGTGGTCTGTGCTTCTCTAAAAGAGAGAATAAAGCAAAAAGGGAGACAGCGTCCCAGTCCCGGTTCTCAGGTCCCGATGTCAGAGCTCCCTAGACTCCGTCCCCCCCCAACACTCATCCTTCTGCCGAAAGACCCCGGGCCGGGTCTCTGGAGAGAGGTCCCGGGGTGGGGGGCGGCGGGCTCGCCTCTGCCCGCCGCACACCCTCCAGGGAGGCGGTGGAGGGGGCAGGGGCGGAGGAGGCCC